CTCTATGCAGCTTATTCTGGACAATGCACAGATGCATCCAGTCAGTTACAGGAGTGTCTCTTGGACGCATTGTAAAAGTGTAAATTGGCTTACCCAATGATGAGCAGTTTGGCAGAGTTCATGAAGAAAGTTCCCGACCTGAAACGTCAACTTTCCTACTTTTCTGATGCTGCCTGGCCTGCTGTGTTCCTCCAGCTCCACACTGTGTTACCTCCAGCATCGGCAGATCTTACTACCTCTTCATGAAGGAGAAGCTGTTTCCCCTGCAAGGAGGGTCAGTGACTTACAGGGACACAGAATCAACAAAAGAACCAGTGGGGGAGATGAGAATTTTTTTTTGAAAAGGTTAGTTGTGGTGATCAGAAACACTGTCTGAAAGGATGTTGGAAGCAGGTCAGAGGCTGGGAATCTTGCCAGTAATTCACCTCCTGACTTCCCAAAGCCTGTCCACTATCTACAAGGCACTAGTCAGGAGTGTGGTGGGATACTCCCCTCTTGCCCTGGATGGGTGCAGCTATAACAACACTCGAGAGGCTTGACACAAACCAGGACAAAGCAGCTGATCAATTGACACCACATCCACAAACATTCACTTCTCTTCACCACCAACGCTCAGTAGCAGCAGTGTGTATCATCTAAAAGATGCATTGCAGCAGCTCACCAAAGATCCTGAGACAGCACCTTCCAAACACTGATCCTCCCCAATTATAAGGACAAGGGCAGCATATAAAGGGGAACACCATACCCTGCAAGTTCCCCTCCGAGCCACACACCATCCTGACTTGGAAATATATTGCTGTTCCTTCAGCCTGACTTGGGTCAAAATTCTGGAACTCGCTCCTTCACGGCAATGTCAGAGATTATCATCTTGCACTCATCAGGACAAATGCAAAGATGCCAAATTTCCAACTTTCACAACAGTTTATTCTACAAGAGGAAAAGATGTTGGAGTTGATTCTGATTGGCCGAGGTGTTACTACAGAGAAAGAAATTGGAAGGAGATTCTCCCCAAGCTCCCAGATCTCTGGATTAATAGTCTGGTGATAATAATATGACAGGGTGTTGCCGCCCCTTGTGTTTGACTCTTAACCTCCCTCTGGGCAATTAGGGATGGACAATAGAAGGATGGTATGGTGGCTCATTGGTTAGTGCTGCTGCCTCACAGCACAAGGGACCTGGGTTTGATTCTAGCCTCGGGTGACTGTGGAGTTTGCACATTCTCCCCGTATCTATGTGGGTTTCCTCTGGGTGCTCCAGTTTCCTCTCTTAGTCCAAAGATGTGCAGGTTAGGTGGATTGGCAATGATAAGTTGCCCGTAGTGTCCAGGGGATGTGTAGGCTAGGTGGATTAGTCATCGGAAATGCAATGTTACAGGGATTGGGTAGAAGGTTAGATCTGGGTGGGATCCTGTTTGGAGGGTAGGTGTGGATTCGATGGGCCGAATGGCCTTCTGTAGGGATTCTATGAATAAATGCTGGGCCAGCCAGCGATGCCCACATTCCGTGAATGAATAACAAACACCTTAACATTGGGGGATAGGAGGATGCATAGAGACTGGGCAGAGGGGTTCAGCCTGGCAAGGGGATGGGTGTAGAGTGAGGGGCTATGGAGGAGTGTATGGGGTGCATTGTGTGCACCGAGGAGGTGGGTAGAGAGGCACACCGTGACATGGGGCACGTGGTTGCATGTACTGACTGCGTTCACAATACCTCTGAGGGGCCAGGGATCACCAAACACCCTTTGAGAAGCTGGCCTGACTCATTCTGTAGGCCCTACCAATCTCCATAGTGGAACCAGCTGTGGGTGTGTGTGACCCGAACCAGCCCATATCCTTTAAAAAGACAGCTCCCAGAAATCGGAAAGGGAGTGAGAAATCCAGGACATCAGCAGCCCTTTCCTCCCTACCCACATCCACTCAGCCATGACTCCAATCATCCCAACTTAGCAAAAATCCAGGCCCAATCATCTCCCATTTGGAACGGAGACAAGGAGCAATTTCTTTTCTCACAGGGTGGGTGATCAAGTCCTGGAGAGTTTTTATAAGCACAGAATGAGGCCCTTCACCCATCGTGCCTGCATCAGTCACCAGCACTTGGCCCCTAGCCTTGTACGCTCTGACACTTGAAGTTTTCATTTAAATACTTATAGAGTCACAGAGGGATACAGCATGGAAGCAGGCCCTTCGTGCTGACCAGGTTCCCTAAACTGAACTAGTCACATTTACCTGCATTTGGCCCATATCCGTCTAAACATTTCCCATCCATGCACCCAACTAAATGTCCTTTAAATGTATTTGCAACCACCTCTATCACTTCCTGTGGCAGCTCATTCCATACACCCGACACCCTCTTGTGTGAAAAAGTTGCTCTCTTGGGTCCGTTCTATATCGTTACTTTCTCACCTTAAACCTGTGCCCTCTAATTTTGGACTCCCCTACCCTGGGAATAAGATATTGGCTATTTGCCTTATCTTTGCCCCTCATGACTCTACAGACCTCTACAAGGTCACCCCCTCATCCTCCTATGCTCCAGGGAATGAAGGTCCCAGCCTATCCAGTCACTCCTTAGAACTCAAACCTTCCGGTCTCAGTGACATCCTTGTAAATCTGTTTTAGCACCTCTTCCCAGTTTAACAACATCCTTCATATAGCAGGAGGTTAAATTCTTAAATGTCTTGAGGTTTCCCGCCCCCTACCCCTTTTAAGTGGGTGAGTTCCAGATACCCACTACCATCTGAGTGAAAATAATCCTCAGACCTCCTCTTAATATCCTGCCCCTTACCTTAAAACTGTCCCCAGTATTGACCCCTGACTAAGGGCAATTCTAAGCCCCTTACAATCTTGTACACCTCAATCAGATCCCCTACCTCCAGCCTTTTGTGCTCTAACGAAAACAATCCCAGCTTAACCAGTCTTTCCCGGTCGCTGAATTGCCCCAGGCCAGGCAACATCCTGGTGGTTACCATTGACCAGAAACGGAACTGGACTCGCCATTTCGACACAGTGGCTAAAGAGCAGGTCAGAGGCTGGGAATACCGCCTCTCCTGACTCTCCCCAAAGCCTGCCTAACATCTACTAGATACAGGTCAGGATTGTGAGGGAATACTCCCCACTTGCCCCTGGATGGGTGCAGCCCCAACAATATTCAAGAAGCTTGATACCATCAGGACAAAGCAGCCTCATCCACCAACATCCACTCCCTCTGCCACTGACACTCAGGAGCAGCAGTGTGTACCATCTACAAGATGCACGGCAGAGAATCGACCTGCTCAGTGCATGGAGAAGCCACAGCAGAGACACATCTCCAAGGGCAGGACGGCTGATGCCTGCCAATTAAAAAAAAGAAAACAGCTGAGAGGCGTCCTGTGGTGGGAGGATCAGTACCACAGAAATTCCATCTCGTTCACACAGTACAAAATAAGCCTCGGTAATGAGTTGGAAATCAACATACCTGTCATACCAGAGCCTGTACAGAATTGCTGTGGCATAGAATGAGGCCACTCGGCCCATTGTGCCTACACCAGTTCCATAACCTTGTGCCAATCTCCTGCCACAGAGTCATAAAGGTATACAGCGTGGAAACAGACCCTTCGGTCAAACTCGTCCATGCCGACCAGATATTCTAAATTAATCCAGTCCCATTTGCCAGCATTTGGCCCATATCCCTCTAAACCTATTCATATACCCAGAGATAACACAGTGTGGAGCTGGATGAACACAGCAGGCCAGGCAGCATCAGAGGAGCAGGAAAACTGATGTTTCGGATCGGGACCCTTCTTCAGAAATAGGGAAGGGATAGGGGGCTCAAATAAATAGAGAGAGGTGGGGTGGGGCTGGGGAAGGTAGGTGGGGTGGTGATAGTGAGTGCAGGTAGGCAATGGTGGGAGCATCCATTTCCTGTTCCTCTGATGCTGCCTGGCCTGCTGTGTTCCTTCAGCTCCACACTGTGTTATCTCTGACTCCAGCATTGGCAGTTCTTACTATCTCTATTCATATACCCATCCAGGTGCCTTTTAAGTGTTGTAATTGTACCCTACATCCAGTGAGTTCCAGATTCCCACCACCCTCCAGGTGAAAAAGTTTGTCCTCACATCCCTTCTAAATTCTGGTCCCATCTTAAATTTCTATCCCCTGATCATTGATCCTTCAAGTTTCTTCCTGTCTATGCTCTTCATAATTTTATACATCTCAAACACACACACACACTTTCCCAGTTCCCCAGTTCTAACTGCTTCAGACCTGGAGTGGGAAGCATCGAAGGACAACTACACCTAATGGCCATCATGAATAACAGAAACCCCATCAGAAGGTAAAAGCAATCAAAATTTATGAAGTTTGGGCTCACTGCTCCTCTTCATCTGGTTTTTATCTGCTGGAGGTTTTGAACATTTGGGGAACTGAGAAAGTATGTGTGTGTTTTAACATATTTGCGACATATAAAATTATGAAGAGCGTAGACAGGAAGAAACTTTTTCCCCTTGTTGGAAGGATCAATGACCAGGGGACAAAGATTTAAGATGGGACCAGAATTTAGAGGGGATGTGAGGACAAAAGTTTTCACCTGGAGGGTGGTGGGAATCTGGAGCTCACTGCATGTAGGGGAAGGAGAGACACAAACCCTTATCACATTGAATGAAGTATTTAGATGTGTAATTGCACTGCCAAGGTATAGAAGGCTATGGGCCAAGTGCTGAAAAATGGGATTAGGTGGTCGTTTGTGACTAGCGCAGATCCAATGGGCTGAAGGACAATTTTCAGTGCAGTAGACATCTATAAGTCTGATGTGTGTGTTTCAAGGTGTACATGTTTTAATATGTGTGTATCTGTTTTAATGCTTTGTTGGTTTTAGGGTATATAGATTTTAATGTGTCTGTTAAGGTGTATATGTTTTCATGTGTGTGTGTTTTGACGGTATATGTTTTAAAATGTTTCTGCTTTAATATATGTGTGTTTTAAGGTGTGTGTAGACAAATAGAGGCCCCTTAACTCCTTCCCTCCTTACCTTGAAATTCCCAATGCGAGCTAGGGGAGATAAGAACTACATCTCCCAGCAGGTATAGCAGCGCACCACCACCCCTCTGCGCCTGTGCACTGGCTGCCGATGAGGTCATTCGGATGCAGTGACGCAGGAGCCGGATATAGCGGGCCAATGGGAGGGCGGGGAAGTGTATCATGTGGTGTGGGCGGGGGAGAGGTTACATTGTGTCAGCGCGCGGCTGCAGTGCTACATTGTATCGAGGAGGGAAAGAGTGAGTGAGGCAGGGGCCTGGATCGATTCCTCATCCCTGTCCGGGGGAATAGATACAGTGAGGGTAACAGTGTGTTACATTGTATCTAGCAGGGAGATAGACAGGGGCCTGGATAGATTCCCCTTCCCTGTCCCCGGGTGCAGATATACCGGGGGCACACTGGGCTGCATTGTATTGAGGAGAGACCAGAGAAAGACAGGGGCCTGGATACATCACACCGCCCACCGACCCCCCTCCCCAAACTTCCCTGTCCCTTTGGAACACAGGCACCAAACCGGGAATGTCGCCTGCAACCTGGGAGTACTGAGCCTGGCTGGAGGAGGAGGACTGGGAATACCGAGACCTGTACCCCTAGAGGCCTGGGAATACCGAGCCTGGCTGGAGGAGGACTGGGAATACCAAGACCTGTAATCCAAGAGGTCTGGGAGTACTGAACCCAGCTGCTGCTGGAGGACTGGGAATACTGAGCCTGGCTGGAGGACCGGGAATACCGAGCCTGGCTGCTGGAGGAGGACTGGGAATACTGCGCCCAGCTGCTGAAGAAGCTCTAGGAATACTGAACCCAGACCCCAGGAGGACTAGGAGTACTGAGCCGGGCTGAAGGACTGGGCCCCACATCCCAGAACTGGCAATACTGAACCCAGCTGCCGGAGGAGGGCGGGGAATGCTCAGCCTGGTTGCTAGAAGACTGGGAATACTGAGCCTGACTGCTGCAGGAATATTGGGAATACTGAACTCCATATCCCCCAAGAGAACAAGGAATACTGAGACTGGCTGGACTGGGAATACCAAACTCTGTTTTCCCCATTGATCCAGGACTGGGAATACTGTGCCCGTTTCCCACCTTTCCCTTCCCCAGGCTGCAGGACTGGGCTACCAAGCCCCGTTCCTACTATTAGCTACTGACAGCTGGAAGACTGAGAATATTGAACTAATATAGGGGAGATTTACTTAATCCCAGACTACAGAAGTGAGAAGTTTGTTACTGTCAACAATAGGACTGGGAATACCACACTAATCCTAACTACCAGACTGGGAATACCTGAGCGAATTGCAGCTGCGGGAGTGGGACTGTTGTGCTAATCTTGGCTATGGGTCTGAGGATCTTGAGCTAGTCCCAAGTGTAAGGACTGGGAATACTGATCCAGTATACTTTCAAGATCTGTGGAAGGATCGACACTGGGAGAGTTATCCCAACTCCCGGAACAAGTGCTACTGGACAGCATCGGGGAATCGTGAAGACTGGGACCCCTCTTGGTCACTGGAAAGTGGGAATTGCAGGAGGACGCAGTGTCTGCAGTTGTGGAACAGGCTGAGAGCGAGGAAGCAGGGAATTGTCTGAAAAAGGGGACTAAGTAAACGTGCAATCAGGAAGAACCTCTGGCTGCATTCTTTTCAAAATCATTCCCAAGCTGGCAATAAATCCCAGTGTGGAAAGAGAAAAAGCAGACGAGGGAGATTGCGGGATGAGAATTGAACTTTAGAAACCTTTTGTGGAATCTCAGATCACCAGGAAATTGGGAGGGCTGAAACCTTTTGGAATTTCGAATCGCCCAGAAGTTGGGAAAGCTGAAACCTCAATTTGGCATCTCGAGCCGCCAGGAAATTGGGAGCGCCAGAATCTTTCGGTGTGGAGCTTGGAATTGCCGGGAAGTTCGGAACGCCGGAGAGGACGGGTGGTCACTGCTGATTCGCCGCGGGAGAGGCTGGTGCTCTGGAATTTCATCCCTTCCTAGTCGTTTGGGATACTTCGCTCGTTTTCGCACCTTCCCACCTCCCCTACCACCCCGGAAGCTGGGAATGGGATCGGTCGGGGAGTGAACGGCGAGCTGCTGAGACTGTCTCTTCCCGGTCGGTGAGGGTGGGGGGGGAGGGAAGGCGGCCGTGGTGTGCGAGACTCCGCTGTGGTTACTCCTGTAGGACTTCACCACCACCACCACCACCCCCACCCCCCCCCCCTCCACTTCCTCTTTTTTTTTTCTTTCCCTGGACCTTTCCGATGGAGCCCAAGGTGACGTCGCCGGTGACGGCGGCGGAAAAGGTGGACGGTTTCAGCCGGAAATCCGTGCGCCGGGCCCGGCAGCGCCGGTCTCACGGTTCATCCCAGTTCCGGTACCAGAGCAGCCAGGTGGAGCTGACCCCGCTGCCCCTCCTGAAAGGTGAGTGCCTCGTCCTCCAATTATTGTTTCCAACTCATCCCCACACCCCCCACACACATGCCGGGAGAAAGGCCACCCCCCCCCCCTCCCCGAGCTCCGGGATCGTTCGGAGAGGGGAGGCAGGAGAGGTTACAGAAGGAGAATTCCGGAGGCAGGGTGGTAGGTCACGGGCACAAACGTGTTTTTTTTTCTTTTAATGGGGTAGCAGGCTCAAGCGGCCGAATGGTCTCCTCCTGCCTCCATCTTCTGTGCTTCCTACGGCAGGAGGGGGCCACTCGACCGCATGAGCCTGCTACCCCATTAAAAACACGCTTGTGCCCGTGACCTACCACCCTGCCTCTGGAATTGCCCCTCTGTAACCTCTCCTGCCTTCCAGGGTTTGTAAAATTAGAGGGGTGAGGGTCGGGCAAGAGCTCCCTGTGGTTTGGGGGGGCTGGGGATCTGCGCTGGAAGAGGCTGCGGAGCTGGGGAGTATGGGCAGAGCATTACTGTCATGGTAGTTCCATTGGTGGCATGCCAAGAGGCAAGTATGGGATTGGTCACTCAGCGGTTGGGGCTGGTGATGGTGAATGTGAATTTACCCATTTGTCCCCCATTCCCAACCCTTTTGGATGGCTGTGAATTCGAGAGCGATGTTACCCAGTGGAGTCCTTCCATCACACTCGCTCACTGATGGGAGTCTGCCCCAGGGCCCCACCTTCGCCCCGTAGCCTTCGGTCTGGGTGGGTTTAGATCCCCCCACCCCACACTGGATATGGGAAAAGATGATCCCGCATCTTGTGGGCAAGGGTAGGGGGTGTCCCAACTTGGGCGTCGAGATGTAGGTTCAACTCGAGAGACGGAGACTCTAGTACCTCCCCATCACTTTGAGTGGTCAGGAGTCACTCATGCTCTGGGGGCTGTGTTGGGAGATCAGCTATTCAACCTGTTTGGCAGCACCGAGCAGGGTAGCAGTGGGGGAGGGTTGAGGTTAAGTGCTGCAGTGGGACTTGAGCCCGGTGCTCCTAGCTCAGAGGCACGGGATGCAGAGTGCCTGTGCCTCAGGTTGGATGTGTCAACAGCCTATTCCCTGCCTGAGGTTCCGGCCGAAGAGAGGAATGTGTTAATCGGGGAGTGAAGGCAGTAACAGCGCTTCCTATTTGGATGGACATGCTGTTTGGTATGGAGCCCGGGCCTGGGGTGTGTCTGTACCTATCTGTCTTCTACCCATTAACCACGGCTATCGCTCAGCCATTGCGTGGGAAAGATTCCGATTTACTTTCACTAAATTCCCTCTTTATCCTTCAGTGTAAACTCCAGCAGGGCGCACCCCCCTCCCCCCCGCCTGGCCCTCCCTCTCGCGCCCTCCTGCCCCTCCCTCTCCCTCCGTCTGTCTGTCTGTCTGTCCGTCCCTCCCTCCATCTCTGCCCCTCTGCACGCCCCCCCGTCCTCCCTCGCCGCCCCCTCCCTCCAACCACCCCCCCCATTCGAGCAGGCCATTCGACCCATTAGGTCCACAACAACCCTCTGAAGAGCATCCCAGCCTGACCCACGCTCCTACCATAACCCTCTGCTTTCCACAGCTAATCCAGCCTAACCTGCACATCTTTGGACAGTGGGAGGAAACCCCACATAGACACGGGGTGGAGTGTGCAGACTCCACACAGACAGTCGCCCGAGACCGGAATCGAACCCGGGTCCCTGAGGCAGCAGTGCTAACCACTGAGCCGCCACGTTGTCCAATTCGGGCGACTATTCGGGGACCAGTCCCCACCCTCACCTCTAAACCAACTGTTCCTGGTCCCCCATGTCACTTTTGTAGACAGTGAACTGCTCATCTGACCAAAGCCTGTCACTGAATTGTAAAACCATCCTCCATAGATTCGGAAGTTTCTTCTCAGAGATGGACTAACCCCCAGAAGCCCTCATCACCTTGCAAGTGCAGTCCTCCTTCAATGCTGAGTGCTGGGAAATGGAATTGGAGCAGTTGCATGGTTCTTTTGAAACGGCACAGACTCAGTGGGCTGAAGGTCCTTTTCCTGCGCTAAAGACCTCTCTGACCCCTGCGTTATATCTCCTGACAATAATCCCTGTGTCAGCCCAATGGTTGCTGAAGCCTACATCCATGCTTTTGTAACGTCTAGTCTTGATTCTCATGGTGGGGGGTGTCTTCAGGCCAACGTGCTGTTTGTGCCTCACTCATTGACTTGAGTCCGACGACACTGCTGTGAGATTGAGATGGTTCATAACGTTCAACACACTATTAAAAGTCACGTTGCAGGCAACCCAGCTTGGATTGTTAACATTCTAGGAACAGTTTACAATGCCTTCTGTAAGGAAGAGCAATAAAGGTCTAAAAAGTGAGGGCGCAGCAGAGAATAGTATCAGGAGTAGAGGTGAAGTTTATAGTTTGAGGATTGATGCAGGGTTGTGAGGAGAGGAAGAGAGTCAGTGAAATAATTTGGGATTGATACAGGGCTATGGGGAGAATGCGGGGCAGTGGGATTAGTTTGGGGATTGATACAGGCACTAGTCTAGGGATACTTCGATTGTCAGGTGAAACAGACTGATTTTTGTCCTTCCCACTTCCTGTATTTGTTCAGTCAGCTGCTGTTTATGGGGAGCAGGTGACTGAACGTAGCTGACCTACATTTTGCTGATCATTTACTGAGTATTTGTTTTCGATGTCTTTAAGCAATCTGTTCAGAGACGTTACGCCACACCCGTGGAGCAGATGGGGCTTGAACCCAGGCCTCCAGGCACAGAGGATTAGGCACTACCGTTGCAGTATGAGTCTTTCATTCCAGTGCATCTGATGGTCTTTTCCAAATTCCAAGCTCTGTGTGTTCCTGGGGGTGGTCAGAGTGAAGGAAAGAATGAGACCTGACTGCAGTGAACCAATGTTACTTTTCACTGTCCCCCATCAAACACTCCCCAGGACAGGGACAGCACAGGGTTAGATACAGAGTAAAGTTCCCTCTACATTGTCCCCCCCCCCCCCCCCATCAATCACTCCCAGGTTGGGGACTATATGAGGTTATGTATAGAATAAAGCTGCCTGTGCACTGTTCCCATCAAACACTCCCAGGACACTGATAGAATGGGGTTAGGTACAGAGTAAAGCTACCTCGACTCTTTTCATATGTTCACATGCAACAAGATCTGGACAATATCCAGGCTTGGGCTGACAAGAGGCAAGTGACATTTGCGCCACACAAATGCCAGGCTATGACCATCACCAATGAGACAATCTAACCACTGCCCCTTGACATTCAATGGTGTTACCATCACTGAATCCCCCACTATCAAGATTCTGGGGTTACCATTGACCAGAAACTCAACTGGATACACCACATTAACAGAGTGGCTGCAAGAGCAGGCCAGAAGCTGGGAATACCGTGGCAAGTAACTCACTTCCTGACTCCTTAAAGCCTGTCCACCATCTACAAGGCACAAGTCAGGAGTGAGATGGAATACTCCCCACTTGCCTGGATGAGTGCAGTCCCAACAACACTCAAGAAGCTCGATACCATCCAGGACAAAGCAGCCCCCGCTTGATTGGCGCCACATCTACAAGCACCCACTTCCTCCACCATCGACGCTCAGTAGCAGCAGTGTGTACTATCTACAAGACGCACTGTAGAAATTCACCAAAGATCCTCAGACAGCACCTTTCAAACCCACGACCACTTCCATCTAGAAGGACAAGGGCAGCAGATAGATGGGAACGCCACCACCTTCAAGTTCCCCTCCAAGTCACTCACCATCCTGACTTAGAAATATATTGCTGTTCCTTCACTGTTGCTGGGTCAAAATCCTGGAATTCCCTCCCTAATAGCATTGTGGGTCAACCCACAGCAGGAGGACTGCAGCGGTTCAAAAAGGCAGCTCACCACCACCTTCTCAAGGGCAACTAAGGATGGGCAAGAAATGCTGGCCAGCCAGCAATGCCCACATCCCACGAAATGAATAGGAAAAAAAAGTAAATTTCCCCTGACCCTGTTCCCATCAAACACACCTCAGGCTGGGGCAGAGGCCCGCTCCCCAATCTGCCTGGGTGTCAGTGTGAGGTCTGATTTTGCACGGGCCAGCGGAAGTTTCCTGTCTCGCTCACAGGGCGATTTTTATTTTCGGAAGCTGCAGACGAGGCTCCATCTGTCAGTTGTCAGATTGCGGTTTGGTGTTCTCAAAGAACTGTACGGCACGGTACAGGCCCTTCGACCCACGATGTTGGAATCTTGCTTCCCGTGGGAAGCCTCTCCTGTCTTTGTGGCCCACAGTCCTGGTGAGATCCCCTCCTGTAGGAGGGCATCCTTGAACGACCAATTCTGGTACGCCCCGCAGTCTCTGAACTCTGAACCCCACGGAGTAGCAGTGGACCCCAGAACCGGGGTGGGGGGGGAGGGCCACAGCCTAAGGATTACGGGGTAGAACATTTAGGACTGAGATGGGGAGAAATGTCTTCACCCAGAGAGTGGGGAGCCTGTGGGATTCTCTGCCACAGAAAGCGGTTGAGGCTAAAAACATGGAATGTTTTTGAGAAGGACTGGGGCTAAAGGAGATTGGAGGGTATGGGGGGAGGGGGGGAAACCAGGAACAGGGGGACTGAATTGGACAATCAGCCATGGTCATATTGAACGGTGAAACAGATTTGAAGGGCCAAGTGGCCTGCTCCTATGTTTCTGCAATAGCACTGCGAGGTATGGGTCACACGTTGGTGTGAGAAAGCTGGAAAAGGACTGGTTTGTGGTTTGAAAATGAGACGGACGGTACTTTGAAGCCCATCTCCTTCACTTCTAGGGTGTTGTAAACTGCTGCGGTTTGAGATGGTGCAGAAAGAGGCCACTTTGTGGTTGTGCTGACACCTCTGATGTTCACCTAGTGCCACCTTCCGCTGGAGCCCTGCATGTCCTTACTCTTCAGATAATGACCCAATCGTCTCCTGAACGTCTCGATTTGAACCTGCACGCACACGCCCACCCGCCCGCGCGCGTGTGTGTGCACACACCCCCACAATGGCCTCCCACATGCTCACAGCCCATTCCAGGTCCCAACCCCTGGCCACTTGAAAAAGTTCCTCCCCGTCTCATTGCTGCTCTTGGCCGTCACCTTCAATCTAATTCTCTCCTCTTTGATCCTTTCACAAACGGGAACAATTTCCCCACTATTCCTGGATCCTGGAATCTGCAGCTCTGATGGCTGTGTCCTGCTCAAAACTGAGTTCTGACAAAGAGTCCCGGGGCTTGAGACGTTGACACTCTCTGCGGACGTTGCCAGACCCTGCTCAGCGTCTCCAGCACTTTGTTTTGGACTTGACCAGAGATCAATTCCGGGCGTGGGGGGGTGCCTTCTCCTCGAAGGTAAAAGAGAGAGGGGCAAGATAGGAGGCAATTAGGGAGGAAAATCCAGATCTGTGGGACCATCTTGCTTGAAGGCTCAATCACCTGACGGGAGTGATTTTTTTAAAAAAAAAAAAAAAAAATTGAGGAATACTGGAGGCTGGAATGAGGCGAGTGCAAATATCATTTGGGGGCGGGGGGTCTTGTATTCAGTCAGGACGTGCATGGGCCCGTGTTTACCACACATCCTGAATTGCCCCCTTGAGAAGGTGGTGGGTGAGCTGCCATCTTGAACCACTGTAGTCCATGTGCTGTGGGTTCACCCACAATGCCCTGAGGGAGGGAATTCCAGGGTTTTGGATGTAGAATGTTTCAAAGTCAGGATTTTGGACCGGTGACATAATTCCAAGTGAGTGGTGCGGAGGGGAGCTCGCAGGGGAGGGAAGAGATGGGAGTGGTTGCTGTTCCCATGTACCTGCTGCCCTTGACCTTCTAGATGGAAGTGGTCGTGGGTGTGGAATGTTCTGTCTGAGGAGCCTCCCAGTGTTTCTACAGTGTAGATGCTACACACTGCTGCGACTGAGTGTCAGTGGTCGGGGGGGGGGATAGTATTGAAACGGATGAACATTGATTGAGTTGAAAATAAGGAGGAGAAAATCAAAACTGAGCCATTGTGTCAGCAGGTGCTGGTGTTGGTCAGTGAGTGATGGGCAGATGGGATTGTGTGTTTTGGGAGGAGGGTTAAGTTTAAATGTCACACTGGAGCAAGGGGCATGGGAATTGGCCAGACTGAATTCAATCTTAGCTCCTGGAGAAACGAGAGAGAGAAAGAGGAACCGGAAGGTTGAAAATCCAATTCAGGCAGAACTCCACGGGGAATTGTGACTTAAAATAGTATCAGAGTGTGTTCCTCCTGCAGTGTAATCTCTGTTTAAACAATTTATTAGTGCGTGTCAACTTCAGGGAACCCAGGACTAAATCCAAGGGCTGTTTCCTATCTGGATTCCAGCTGCTCACTGGAGCCCAAACTGGTTTATTCTGTAGGGATCTGCAATTGCTCACGGTGAGCACACACTTTCTTTCATCTCACCCAGAAATACTGCAACAAACCAATCACCAGAGACTTGATAATCTCAAAAAATTCATAGAATCAATACAGCGGGCACGCTGTGCTGCGCTGTCTGAGGGTCAGTGCCGAGGGCGTGCTGCGCTGTTGGAGGGTCGTTGCTGAGGGTGCGCCACATTGTCATCAGTGGTATCTTTCAGATGAGATAAGTTGTCACCTAACCTTTTAGTTGAAGGTACTGGAAGAGGAACAGGAGCAAATTTTTCCTGGATTCCTAGGACCCTATTTATCCTGAAATGACAGTGCAAGGAATCATTGGGTCATTATCACTTTGGGGTTTTGGTGTGTGTGTCTGTCTGTGTCTCTGTGTTTGTGTGTCTGTGTACATTTCCTACTTTACAACAGCAACAAGATTTCAAAAAGCTGTTGCGATGTGCTGAACTGGTAAAAGTTGAGACAATTGCAAGTTCATCCTTCATTTCAGTAAAACACCCAACCACTTGTGAAACACAAAAGTTAACTGATGACCTTTTAGTAAAGCCACTCCTAGGCAGCAGTGATCGTAATATGGAAGTTCACATTGAGTTTGAGGGAGAGAAGAGTGGGTCCAAGACTTGTGGTGTAAACTTAAAGGCAATTATGAGGGCAAGAAAGCAGAGCTCGCTAAAGTGGGAGCAAATTAGGTGGAGAGGTGGGTTTAGAGAGATGCAGTGTCTGACCTTCAAGGGGATATTTTGGAATATTTTCAGTACAGATACATCCCAACAAGAAAGGAGAATTCCAGGAGGCAAAAAAGTTGAAGATAGCATCGATCTTAAGGAAAAAGCACCTGCAGATATTTAGAAACAAGGCTTGGCAGGGTGTTAGTCTCGAAGGCGAGTGTGGTGAAGTTATAATGGAGCGTTAAGAGACAGCAGATAATTGAACAGGCATCTCTCACCGCCTTGCTATAGTAGGGATAAATAGCATCCCAGAAATAGATCAAAGTCAGGAAACAGGAGGGAGGAGCTCACGAGGGAAGTGAAGCTGAGCAAGTGTCAGAGCTTCAGACAGAGAATTCCCTGGATTCTGAAGGACTTCATCTTGGGGTTCTAAAATAAGTGGCTAGTGAGATCATTTACGCGTCAGTTTTAACTTTTTTTTACAGGGACTTTAGATTGGAAGGTTGCAAATCCAGCTGCTTAATTCAAAAGCCAACAGAGACAGCAGAAAAATACAGGACTGCACCCCCAGTACTGACCCCTGGGCGGGTCACTCCGTACTGCTGGCTGTTCATGGTGCAGTCAGTGAGGAGAGTGAGAGGGTCTGTTTGGTTCAGTATCTGAGGCCAAAGTCTTTGGGTCTGTGATGGACACCCCCTCTTCCCCCCTCTCCACCCCTCGCGCACCTCAGTGTGAGCCCTAGGGTCTGAATTGTGACCTCACAGAAGCTGGGAGTGGGCCCTGTCACAGCGAGTCGCAGGGGGGTGGGGGTGAAGAGAGGGTAAGTGTGGAAGTGGGGGGTGGGGGCGGGAAGGGGGGGTTCAGGGCGGGGCTGGGGTGTTGGGATGCGGGGGGGGGGGGGGGTTTGTTGGCGGTTGAGGGGAGGGAGGGGGGGTGGTTAGATTTGGGAGACAGGAGTGGGTGTGGGTGTGGGCGGGAGAGGGGGAAATGTGGAAGAGGCCGGTGGGGAGGGAGTGAGGGATTAAGCAGCTCTCTTTCCTCTGAGTTGACGTCCAGCCTACACTCCCCTCCCCCCAATGAGGAAAGACCCCTCTCCATGATGGAATCCAAAGTGACCACCACCCACCGTCACATTAAAGAACGTGAGTTTCATCCTTGTGGATTGTACAGACCAGTTCCCCCCCCACTCCCCAAGAGCTCCTGTGGGTGGCATTGCCCGTACCTCTGAGTCAGGCGGCCTAGGAGTTCAAGTACCACTCTGCCCCTGGAGGCCGTGACCTGACATGTCAACTTGACCTCCCGCCCAAAGCATTGTGGGCTGTCCCTGTCCTCCCACCTCTCCCCCCGCCCCCGGCATCTGGACTGGATTGTTCTGTTCCGAAGGAGATTCCCAGAATAGGGAGGTCCATTGGGATTCTCCGCCTTTGGGAATTTCAGATGTGGATCTGTTCCCTCACTTGGAGGGTGCTGAGTCTCTGGTAATCCCTACCCACAGGGAGAGATGTGGCTCTGACCCCCCACCACATACAGCGGAGGGAGAGACGGGTCTTTCTGGAGTCCCAGAGGATTGAGGGAATGGGCAGGGAGGGGGGATTGAAGGCAAGGCCGGCCTATTGAATGTTACAGCAGACTCGAGGGACTGAATGGCCACTGTTTAATCGCATTTGCTGATGTTGTAGCATAGCAGTCTGATCCCTCACCCACTCTCACCTCTTATCTTTCTCTCTCTGACTCTGTCTCTGTCTGTCTGTCTATCTTATCTCTTTTTATGTCTGTTCATCTCTCTCTGAATTTCTGTCTTGCTCTGTGACTCTCTTTCTCTGTCCCCCCACCCCCCAACCAATCTCTTCCACCTCTCTCACTATCTCTCTTTCTCTTTTCTCTCTACCCATCTCTCTCTCTCTTTCTCTCCCCGGCCTTTCTCTCTCCAGATGCCGCAGTGTCGGATTTACACGACCTGTTCTGTAAGAAGCTGCAGCAATGTTGTATTGTCTTTGACTTCATGGACTGTGTTGCTGACCTGAAGGGGAAGGAGATCAAGCGAGCGGCCCTCAATGAGCTGGTGGAGAGTATCGCGACAGGTCGGGGCCTCCTCATTGAGCCCATCTACCCTGAGGTCATGAAGATGGTGAGTGTGCGGAGGCCTGCTCCAGGCCGGTGACCCCCGAAAACCGCCCCCTCTGCCCCCATCCCCAGAAAACCGCCCCCATCCCCAAAACCCACCCCCTCAACCCTACCTCCACAACCCTACCTCCACATCCCTCACCTCTGCCCACACCAACCACCCCAACCCCACAAAGTAAACCTTCCAAACCACCCCCCTTGCCAGGTCCCCACTGTCCCGCAGCCCCCCACTCCTCCCCCTCCCACGTTGGGGCAGAGAGGGGGTGGGTAGGTGATGAATAGGAGAGAGTGTAATGAGGGAACCTTCCCCCGAGACTATGGGCGCAGTGACCCGAGGTGCTCAGCGTGGGGGGGCGGGGTGGGTCAGTGAGGGTGAACTGCACAGGGAGCAACAATCTACCACAACAGCGTGGGGCTCGTGGGCAGGGCTCAGAAGGATTTGACAAGAACCGTCCCAGGAGTGCGGAGGTTTTTGATCAGCCGGGGAATTGCAGATTATGGGGGAAAAGGGCAGGATGTGTAGAATGTCAGCTGGGCCATGATCCTGTTGAATGAAGGAGCAGGCTTGGGGCCTACTCCTGTTCCTATTTCTGATGGGCTTGTGTCGGCGACACGGATGGATCGGAGAAGTTGGGACCATTCTCTTGGAAGGAGGGAGATTTGATCAAAATTACTGGGTGAGGGGGTGCCTCTAGGCGGATGGGCTCAGTCTGGGGGAGCACAAGGGGCACAGGGTTAAGGCGATTGGCAAAGGCAACGAGGGGCGAGAGAGACACTGACTGTGCGGGGAGCATGGCCAGGGATTGGGGACTCCAGTGAGACCCCCTGGAGAAGGAGTTGGATTGTCATCCAAACATGATGAGTGGGCAGGGAGAGAAGGTAATGTTAGTTGAAAGGGGGGTGCCCTCCCTTTGGAGAGGTGGCAGGCACACTTGGATAGGCCGAGTGGCCTCATGCTGCCCTGTTGGTGAACGGGCCACTTGGCTACGTACGTCTCCCCATTCCGCTCCCAGAGCCCTGCTTCAGGCCTTCGCTCTACCCCAGGAGGGAAGGTAGGGGCCATGAGGGGATGGGTAGCAGATAACAACCCCTTGCCCCCAAAAGGGGTGAGTGAACTGGACAGGGGCTTTTTCTCTTCTGTTGTCGTAGTTGCCACAGCCTGGACCCGCTTCCACCGTTTTACACGCGTGACCCAGATTTCCGTACGGGCCCTGGTGGGACTTGAACCCACGGCCTCTAGATTATTGAGTGGGCTGCCATCCGCCTTGAATCTGACCCCTCACTCCGCTCCCTTCCCCTCCCTACCCCTCAGCCTTGGTAGGCTCCACACCAGGCCTAAAACTTCCTTTAAAACTCTCCCCAAATTCTGTCTCCTCTTGGGTCCAGTTTGAGGACACTCCACCTGGCCTGTCCTGTGACTGGGATGGGTTGGGAGCGTTTACTGTGTTTTGATGTAATATTCCAATTATCGTAGTGAGGTTAGGCCCTTGAGCCAAACAGCCGCTTTCACAAGGGTTAGTCAGGATTCATCTCCAACCCTCTCCCTGTCAGAGAGTCACCTTTTTAAAATTATTAATGAGACCGGCAAATACGTAGTTTCACAGTGGTTTTTTGCTTTTCAAATTTCGCGCTTGATTCTTTTTTGAGGTTATAAATCAAAATTGAGTCAGTCTTCGTGCAACTAATGCGTAAAGTGGTTGGAGAACAGCACTGAGGGACCATGGCAGTGATAGAAATAATCCATATTTAACACACATATACGTGCACACGCATACACATAACGCGCATGCGCGCACGCATGCACACACACACGCGTGCGCACACAAGCACACTCTTACAATCTCCCACAAAGCAGCAATGAGACAGTGACCGAAACATCTGGTTTATTGTTCAAGGCATCGGTTGAGGAATAGATATTTTTATTTGTTTTTGAGATTGCCAGCTGGGCCTAGCATTTATTGCCCATTCCCTAATTGCCGCCTGAGAAGGTGGTGTAGAGCCCCTGTGTTGAGCTGCTGCGGGGGTTGGGGGCCGGGGAGGTGGGATGCAGCGGGGGTATGGATGAAGTGAGTGAGTTGGTTAAAACCTTGGCAGATGTTGTATAATGGGGGGGGGGGGGTGGGAAATGTGAGGTGCCCACTTTGTCAGTACAAATGGACTTAAAGCAGAATCTTATGTAGGTGGAGGGTGTGTGCAGAGGGATCTGGGTGACCTGGTGTCTGAATCCTAGCAACATTGATGCAGGTACAGCAAATAATTAGGAAGGCAGATGGAACCTGGGGGTGAACTCTCAAGACAGGGAAGCCTCTCTACAACTGTACAGGGCTTCAGGGAGACTGCCCCTCCAACACTGCTATGGTCTCCATACAAGGGAGGGCACGCTTGCGTCAGAAGGTTCTGCTTAAGGAGGGTTCACTCGGCTGGTTCCTGGGATATATGGGGGCATTTGCCCTACGAGTAGGTTGTGTTTTTTGGTGAGAATGAGGGTTTGATCTTTACTGAAACATTGATCTTTATCACAGTGGGAACTTGTTTGTTGAACCTCTGGGACTATGGTGACTTTAGTCGAGGCTGGGGGGGTAAGGGTTGGCTCAGTTTGCGATGCAGAGTGACGCTAACGGCATGGGTTCAATTCCCGGCTGGGCTGAGGTCACTGTGAGGGACTGTCCTTCTCAATCTCAACCCCTCGTCTGAGCTGAGTAGGACACGAGGCAGGAGAGTTTGAATGGAGACTGATGTTGGTGTTGGATGAGAGCCCCTCAGGTTCTGAAAGGAACGTTGCAAACTGTGGTGTTTCAAAACAAGATATCGTTGCTCAGTGCAGTCTTTGTGATGTCTGAGGGTGCTCCAATCTCTCGAGGTGTACTCCCTGCCATCCCAAGTGTCTGAGGGAACTCTCTGGTATTTGTGTGTTTTCCCCATCTATGTCTCTGTGTGTAAATTGTGTCTGTGTGTCTCCCTCCTTCTGCGAGTCTGAGTACCTGTCTGCCTATTGCTGTCTCTTTTCCACTCTTTCTGTAGCCCGTTCCCAACCCCTCTTCCTTCCTGTTCCCTCTCACTTCATAAATAACGCTCTCCGCTTTTTTGTTTGGAAGATCTCTGCCAATATATTCCGGACACTCCCTCCGAGTGATAATCCAGAGTTTGATCCAGAAGAGGATGAGCCAAATCTCGAGGCATCCTGGCCCCATTTACAGGTGGGTGGTTTGTGTGGTGGACCAGTGCTGGACAGTGGGAGCAGTCTTAGCTTGGGATTTATTGCTGGATGTGACCTCCCTGCGTCTCCAGCACAGAGCACAGCCTCCCAGAGAATGCATTTCTCAAAAAGCTGTCAGTCTCACTCTGTTAGTAATGTCAGTCTGCACCCGCCCTCAACAGGAGCGAATATACCCAGGCAGTAGTTTCAGAAAGCTGTGCCCCCCACCCTCCCTGCCCCCAGGGTGAGATCGCACTGAGTGGATGGTTGAATGAGTAGCAGCTCAGATTTGCCGAAGGCCTGGGCACAATGGAGAGGCAACAGCCTAGTGGTATTATTGCTGGATTGTTAATCCAGAGACCCAGATAATGTCCTGGGGACCTGGGTTCGAATCCCGCCATGGCAGGTGGTGGAATTTGAATTCAATTTTTAAAAAATCTGGAATTAAGAATTGAATGATGACCATGAATCCATTGTCAATTGTTGGGGAAAACTATCTGGTTCACTAATGTCCTTTAGGGAAGGAAACTGCCATCCTTACCTGGTCTGACCTGCATGTGACTCCAGACCCACAGCAATGTGGTTGACTCTTAACTGCCCTCTAGGCACTTAGGGATGGGCAATAAATGCTGCCTGGCCAGCAACGCCCTTATCCTGTGAATGAATAAAGGAAAAAAACTGAGGATTGGTGTCTCCCTAGGGTGTGGGGGTGTACAGTCAGTGGGACTAAGTGGGCGGAGGGGGGGAATACAGTGAGAGTGCGGCAGAGGGTGTGTGTGTGTGATGGTGGGGGTGGTGTACAATGTGGGTGTCTCTCTAACTGTCTTTACCCCTTTACCCCCACCCCCACAGCTGGTTTATGAATTTTTCCTTCGGTTCCTCGAGAGCCCGGATTTCCAACCAGCCATCGCCAAGCGCTACATCGACCAGAGATTTGTGCTTCAGGTGAGATCACATCCCCCTGCCTTCCATCGGCCCCCCGACCCTGGCTTTCCTTCCAATCCTCCCTCCCTCCACCTCCTCGCCTTCCTTCCCTCCCCGCCTCTTCCTTCCAACCCCTTCCCCCTCACTTCCACACCTGAATTTTCTTCACTTCTAGAATGCCTCCCTGACTGTGAATGGTATGGGATGTACCTGGCTGTATATAAACATACCTTTTTCTTGGGAATGTTCCAGCTGTTGGAGCTGTTCGACAGTGAGGATCCTCGTGAACGGGATTTCCTGAAGACGGTTCTCCACCGGGTCTACGGCAAGTTCCTGGGATTGCGAGCATTCATCCGCAAACAGATCACAAATATATTTTTATGGTAAGGGTGAATACACAGTGCCAGCTTCACCAACTCCTCCTGACCGCACGCACACTGCATCACCAGCTGTTACAGCCAGCTCAGGCTCAACCACAAATAAGGATGAGGCGCCCTCTCTCTCTCTCTCTCTCTCTCTCATGCGCTTTCTCGCGTGCTTGCTCTCTCGCACTCTCACTATTCCCGCATGCTTGCTCGCTTGCGCGCTGTCTCTCACGCTCGCTGTCTCGTGCGCTCTCGCACACTCACTATTCTCGCCCTCGCCCCCGCCCTCCCACTCCCATTCTGTGCTATAACCAGAGCCATTTGTTGTACCTTTTTGCTCCTTGATTCTGCTGCCTGCTCTGCCATTCAGTCAGATTGCAGGTGATCTGATTTTTGACCTCGACTCTACGTTCCTGCATATCCACCCCCGATCATCTTTGTTCACTTCGGTAATCAAGAACCTATCCGCGTCTGCCTCATGAGGAAGGGAACTGCAAAGACAATCAACTCTTAAACATTTCCTCATCCCTGTTTTAAATGGGTGACATTTAATTTTTAAACAGTGACCGTACTTGTAGGGGTCCCCTAGATCTTCCACCTCACCTCTTTCCCCTCCCCCCACGGCATCTCCCCACTGGTACTTGATATCCTCCGTCTCCTGCCCCCCTTAATATCCCCACCCCCTCCATCTCCTTCTCTCCCCCCTCCTTCCCCCCCCCCCCCACCCCACCCACCCCCTCCAGTACCCTGTGTCCTGTCAGTGAGGAGGGGGTAGGAAGTGAAGGAGAGAACAGCTGTTGCCGTGCTGTCTGAGATGCTCAGCTATTTTTAAAGCCATTTTTCACTGTGACAGTTCAGGCCTGCGGCCTATTGTCGATCATTATTAATGACGGAGGGGACTGCTCACAGGCAGTGGCAGTAGCACTCTCCGCCACTGCATCTTTTTACATGGCGTTGATCTTTCTAGAAGGTATCACTGCAGGCCGTTACTCAGTTATTTCCCTCTGTTACACTCCTGGTTGTCCCAGCCCAATGGAGCCTCATCCTGTTCCAAGGCCAAATGGATCTTTGAAACGGAATACCAAGTGAGCAGGCCAACGTCTCCCCTACTGCCGCCCGCACCGCCCAGGCTTCCTGCACCCCCGCCAAGTGCGGCCTACACGCCCAGGCTTTCTGCTTGGAAGGGGAGGCTGAACCCCTCTGATAATTAAAATCGAAACAGATTGAAGGTTTGTGTTAACGGCGGGAGTGGAGGTTCCCCTACTAATAATTAAACCCAAAACACCCAGAGAAGCTCATTTCACCTCACCTAATCTGTTATACTGTTACAGAGAAGGAGAGGTTAAATGAAAGAAAATCCCTGATTTTCACTTCACAAGTAACAGGTAACTATTTATTTAACCCTAACAGTGAACAAATTAACAGAGTTACTAACAAACCAAACAATTCCCCCTTAACTACTGAAAGCTAGATGCTTATTTCTCAGATGGCAGTTTGCTCTCACCCTGATTTTCAAAAACCCTCTCCTTATGTACCTTGGATGACATATCAATTTCCTTACAATAGTATTGGTCTGAGGTTGTCAAAACCATTAGACTTAAATTGAATTCGCTTTCATTCGCTAACTGCTTGGTGTAAATTAATTGGCTGATTCCAGCTGGTTGCCAAAATATCAAAACAAGCCTAAGGTTTCCAATCACGCAGCCAATTGCATGTTTCCATTTCAGAACTGGCTGCACATCTTCAGCTGCTCAGAACATTTTCTGTATAAATCTCTTTAAGCTTAAAAAAGCACTTTGCCTCTTAGAGGAGCCATGCACACTTCTCCCTTATCATTTTTTTACAAACAAATTCTAGCTTCCTGCCTTCCATAGGACATAGAACAGTACAGCACAGTACAGGCCCTTCGGCCCACGATGTTGTGCCAAACTTTTACCCTAATCCTAAGGTCTATCTAACCTCCACCCCTACCTTATACTATCATCCATATGCCTATCTAATAGCCGCTTAAATGCCCCTAATGGGGCCATCTCCACTACCCTCTCCGGCAATGCATTCCACGCCCCTACCACTCTCTGAGTAAAGAACCTACCTCTGACGTCTCCCTTGTATCTACCTCCACTCACTTTAAAACTATGCCCCCTCGTAATAGCTACCTCCACCCTAGGAAAAAGTCTCTAGCTGTCTACTCTATCTATACCGCTGATCATTTTGTACACCTCCATCAAGTCACCTCTCATCCTTCGTTCTAAAGAGAAAAGCCCTAGCGCGCTCAACCTTTCTTCGTAAGACCTTCCCTCCGTTCCAGGCAACATCCTGGTAAATCTCCTCTGCACCTTTTCCAACGCCTCCACGTCTTTCCTGTAATGAAGCGACCAAAACTGGACACAATACTCCAGATGTGGCCGAACCAGGCTTTTGTACAGCTGGAGCATAACTTCACGACTCTTGAACTCAATCCCTCTATTAATGAAAGCTAACACACCACACGCCTTAACAACTCTATCCACTTGGGTGGCAGCTTTTGGGGAACTGTGAACGTGAACCCCAATATCCCTCTGCTCCTCCACACTGCCAAGAATCTTTCCGTTAACCCTGTATTCTGCTTTCAAGTTTGTCCTTCCAAAATGAATCACCTCACACTTTTCAGGGTTAAACTCCATCTGCCACTTCTCAGCCCAGCTCTGCATCCTATCAATGTCCCTTTGTAACCTAGAACAGCCCTCCGCACTGTCCACAATGCGACCCACCTTTGTATCGTCCGCGAACTTGCTAATCCACCCTTCCCCTCCTTCATCCAAATCATTTACAAAAATCACAAATAGAAGAGGACCCAGGACAGATCCTTGTGGTACACCACTCGTAACTGAGCACCATGTTGAATATTTTCCGTCCACTACCACCCTTTGTCTTCTAAGGGTCAGCCAATTCTGAATCCAATCTGCCACATTTCCCCCTATCCCATGCCTCCTTACTTTCTTCATGAGCCTACCATGGGGAACCTTATCAAACGCCTTACTTAAATCCATGTGTACCACATCCACTACTCTACCTTCATCCACGTGTTTGGTCACCTCTTCAAAGAATTCAATAAAGTTTGTGAGGCATGATCTACCCCTCACAAATCCATGCTGACTATCACGAATCAAACTGTGCCTTTCCAAGTGATCATAAATCCTACCTCTCGGAGCCCTTTCCAATAATTTGCCCACCACTGACGTTAGACTACCTGGCCTATAATTTCCAGGGTTATCCCTATTCCCTTTTTTGAACAATGGAATGACGTTTGCCTCTCTTCAATCTTCCGGCACTATACCCGTGGACAGTGAGGACGGAAAGATCATCGCCAAGTGCCCTGCGATCTCTTCCCTCGCTTCCCATACGATCCTTGGATAAATCCTATCAGGCCCAGGGGACTTATCTATCTTCAACTTCCTCAAAATTCCTAGCACATCTTCCTTATTAACACCGATCTCCTCTAGCCGACCAGCCTGTTTCACACTGTCCACCTCTACAACTAGGTCCCCCTGAGTTGTGAATACTGAAGAAAAGTATTCATTAAGGACCTCTCCTATCTCTTTAGGCTCCGTGCACAAATTCCCTTCACAATCCTTGATCGGCCCTACCCTTTCTCTGGTCATTCTCTTATTCCTCACGTACGTGTAAAAAGGCTTGGAGTTTTTCTTGATCCTGCCAAGGTTTCCTCATGCCCCCTCATAGCTCTCCTAAGCTCTTTCTTCAGCTCCTTCCTGGATAACTTGTATCCCTCTAAAGCCTTTTCCGTTCCTTGTTTCCTAAACCTTACATAAGCATCCTTCTTCCTCTTAACCAGACGTTCGACCTCTCTTGAGAACCAAGGCTCCCTCACTCGACCGCATCTTCCCTGCCTGCCAGGGACAAACCTATTGAGCACACGCAGTATGCATTCCTTAAATAATCTCCACATTTCTATAGTGCTCTTCCCTGATGGCATCTGTTCCCATTTTATGTTAGCCAGTTCTTGCCTAACAGAATTGTAATTACCCTTCCCCCAGTTATAAACCTTACCCTCTGTATGTACCTATCCTTTTCTATGACTATTGTAAAAGTAAGAGTTATGATCGGTACCACCAACACGCTGTCCTACCAATAGGTCTAACACTTGGCCGGATTCATTGCCAAGCACCAAATCCGAAGTGGCCTCTCCTCGTGTTGGTCTATCTACATACTTTGTCAGGAATCCTTCCTGAACGCACTGGACAAAATCTGCTTCATCTAAACTATAACAACTAAAATGTTTCCAATCAATATTTGGAAAGTTGAAGTCACCCATGATTACAACCCTGTGACTTCTGCACCTTTCCAGTATCTGCCTCCCAATCTGCTCCTCCACATCTCTGCAACTATTAGGGGGTCTGTAAAAAAAACCCCAACCAAGTGACTGCTCCTTTCTTGTTCTGGACCTCAACCCAAACTGACTCTGTAGACATATCATTCTCGAACTGCCTTTCAGTAGCTGCTATACTCGCCCTGACTAGCAATGCCACTCCCCTGCCTCTCTTACCACCCTCCCTATTTCTTTTAAAGCATCTAAATCCCGGAACTTCCAACAACCATTCCTGCCCCTGAGTTATCCAAGTTTCTGTAATGGCCACAACATTGTAGTTCCAAGTACCGACCCATGCTCTAAGTTCATCTGCCTTATTTCTGATACTTCTAGCATTGAAGTATCCATACCTCAAACCATCTCTGTGTCCACAATTACACTCCATCGACCGCATTTCTTTATAAACAACCTCACTCCCTGTCATGTCTGTTGGAAGGCTGAATACCTCATCCTCTGAATTATAAATCCAGTTCCCCACCCCCTGCCAATCTAGTTTAAACCATCCCATATCGTTCGAGCAAGTCTCCCTCCCAGGATATTTGTGCCCTTCCTGTACAGGTCCCACCTTCCCCGGAATGTGCTCCAATTATCCACATAATGGAAGCCCTCCCTCTTACACCAGCCCTGTAGCCACGTGTTTAGCTGCGCACTCTCCCTATTTCTTACCTCGTTATCACATGGCACTGGCAGTAATCCAGAGATAACTACCCTGTTTGTCCTGGACTTCAGCTTCCAACCCAACTCCCTGTACTCGTTTTTCACATTCTCAATCCTTTTTCTACCTATGTCATTGGTACCGATGTGTACCATGACTGCTGGTTGCTCACCCTCCCCCTTAAGGATCTTGAAGACACGATCCGAGACATCATGGACCCTGGCACCCGGGAGACAACATATCATCCGTTCATCTCATTCGCGTCCACAGAACCGCCTGTCTGTGCCTCTTACTATCGAATCCCCCACTACAATTGCTCTCCAATTCTCCCCCCTTCCCTTCTGTGCCACAGGGTCAGGCTCAGTGCCAGAGACCTGTCTGCTATGGCCTTCCTCTGGTAGGTCATCCCCCCGCCAACAGTATCCAAAACGGTATACTTATTATTGAGGGGACCTGCCACAGGGGATCCCTGCACTGTCTGCCTATTCCCTTTCCCCCTCCTGACAGTCACCCAGCTACCTTTTTCCTGTACCTTGGGTGTGACCACCTCCCTATAACTCCTCTCTTCCAATTCCCAATTACTCTACACAACTTGGTGACTCTGTGTGAGCCTGTCTGTGTCTGGGATTGCTGCTGTCCCTGTCCCTCACTCTTCTCTCTCTCTCTCTCAGGTTTATATATGAGTCTGAACATTTCAATGGAGTGGCGGAGCTGCTGGAGATCCTGGGGAGGTGAGAGCGACTGCTCGGACAGATCACGGCGTTCTCCTCGGAGATTCCCTATGGCCTCGGGCTTCCCAACGCATTGCGGAGTGGGCAGGTTCATCCCCCTGGGAGGGGGAGGGGGACAGAGTTTGGTGGGGGTGGGTGTCAACTCCAGGGGTAGGGTGAGGGGGTGGTCAACCGTCAGAGTGGGGGTGGTGTGGGCGGAGATCAGTGCTCAGTGGGGGCATTGGCGCTGGGGCTGGTGTGGGCGGGGATCAGTGCTCGGTGGGGGCATTGGCGCTGAGGGTGGGGGTCCTGTCCCGAGCCGTCCCACATTACCACCCAGGTGTCGCGGTTTGAGTGGGTGTGGGTGCAGGTGGGAGGCGTGGTGCTGGGGTGGGGATAGTGGGCGTGGAGATGGTGTTGAGATGGGTGGGTGGGGATGGACGGGGAGCAGTTGGGGTCACCCACATTAACCCTGGGGGCGGTGGGTGTGGGGGGGGGGGGGGGGGGGGAGGGGGGGGGAGCGGTTGGGGTTACCCACATTAACCCGATGTTTCATGTCCCCTGCAGCATCATCAATGGTTTTGCACTCCCTCTGAAAGCAGAGCACAAACAGTTTCTGCTGCGGGTTCTGATCCCGCTGCACACGGCACGGACCCTCTCTCTGTTCCACGCACAGGTACGGGGGCGGGTGGGGGACAAATGGGACTGAGGGCCTGCAGTTGGTGGGATGTGGCTACTGTGAGAAACCTACAAAGCTAGTTCAGGCTAGATGGGCCGAATGGTGCGTTCACACGGGACGTGGGTGTCACACCAACGAGGCCAGCACTTTTGTCCATCCCTAATCGTCCACAGAACTGAAGAATGGCCAGTGTCTTCCAAACCATCGCCATTAGGCTTAATGTTATTCCATCGGTTCAGTGCCGTGGTGGGACTTGAACCTGTACCCCCACCCCCCACCGCAACCTCCCAATGGGGAATTAACCCTTCAACCACCTCTGTGTACTCCCTCTCCCATGGCAGACTATCCCTGTTGACCCTTTGCGGGGAGCGTTCGGCATGCGTGGCGCCCTTAAAGTGTTAATAGTGACCTCTATGACCTCTGCCTGTTAGCCTCTTATTTGGTCGGGGTCCATGTGTAGGGGGCCTCTTGTGGGTCTTGAGTTTCAATTCCCTCCCAGATTGCTAGAGGGCGCTCACTGCCTGTTGAATGGGACGGAGACACACACAAGCATTGTTTGATTTCATTTACGTACTGCCAGGCTGAGGGCTGGGCCTGTTCTATTGCCTGCCCCTTGAGAAGGTGGTGGGTGAGCTGCCACCTTGAACAGCTGCAGCCCTTGTGCTGTAGGTAGATCCACAATGGGTTCACACCCAACGACAGGGTAAATGCGAGGTTTGCGTTTCGATAAAATGAAGGCAAGACTTTTGTACAATTAAAAGTAGGGCCCTGGGGAGTGTTGTAGAACAGAGAGACCTGGGGGGTGCAGGTACTTAATTCTTTGAAAATAGTCAGGGTGGTTAAGAAGTTGTTTAGCACGCTTGCCTTCATTATTCAGACCTTTGAGTACAGGAGTTGGGAACGTCACGTTGTGGTTGTACAGGACATTAATGAGGCCCCTTCTGGAGCACTGTGTCCCGTTCTGGTCGCCCCGTAAAAGGAAGGAGATTATAAACTGGAGAGGATTCATTAAAGGATGTAGACAGGATTGGAGGGTTTGAGTTATAAGGAGAGGCTGGATAAGCTGGGGCTTTATTCACTGAAGCATAGGAGGCTGAGAGGTCACCTGATAGAGGTTTATAAAATAATGAAGGGTATAGATAAAGTGAATGGCAGGTGTCTTTTCCCTACTGTGGGGGATTTCAAGACTAGGGGGCATATTTTTAAGGTGAGGGGAGAAAGATTTAAAAAAGACGTGAGAGGCAACTTTTTTTTTTACACAGTGGTTCATGTGTGGAATGAGCTTCCAGAGGAAGTGGTGGATGGGGGTACAGTTACAATGTTTAAAAGACATTTAGATAAATAATGAATAGGAAATGTTTGGAGTGATATGGGCCAAGCACAGGCAGGTAGGGCTAGTTTAGTTTGGGATGATGGTTGGCATGGACTGGTTGGACCGAAGGGTCTGTTTCTGGGCTGTATGGCTCTATAATATATTTCCAAGTCAGGATGGGGAGTGGCTCGGAGGGGAACTTGCAAGGGGTGGTGTTCCCATGTACTTGCTGCCCTTGTCCTTCTAGATGGAAGTGGTCGTGCATTTGGAAGGTGCTGCCTGAAGATCTTTGGTGAATTTCTGCAGTGTATCTTGTAGATGGTACACACTGCTGCGACTGAGTGTCAATAGTGGAGGGAGTGGGATGTTTGTGGATGTGGTGCCAGTCAAGTGGGGGCTGCTTTGTCCTGGATGGTGTCGAGCTTCTTGAGAGTTATTGGAGTCACAGTCACTGTTGTAACCTCAATATGGGACAGAAGGAGGTCATTCAGCCCATCTGGTCTGTGCCAGCTTTCTCTCGTGCGGTCAGTCCTACTCCCCACTTTCTGGCTGTAGCCCCACGAGACCCCGTCAGTTTAATTCCCTACAAGTGCCCGTCTGATTCCCTTTCGAAATTGCTTATAGTCCCTGTCCGCCCCCGCCAGAGTTCCATCTTATTACCACTTGGTGTCGTATATTCTCCTTTTCACATTCCCTGAATCTCTCGCCCAGAAGGTTAAATCCATATCCTGTGGTCCTTACAACATCATGATTGTGTTCACTCCGATGGAATCTTCCCCCACCTCCTCCGCTCTCGGGCAAACAACGCCCCAACTTGTCTGACCCTTGACCTCGTGGCCAAAATCCCTTTTTCCCCCTGGGGACCGTTCTGGTCACTCTCCGTCCGCACCCCTCGAACCTTCTGAACTTCTGAAGAGCATGACATGCATTTCTACCACTTGTGCCTTGTCGATGGTGCTCAGGCTCTGGGCGAAGTCAGGAGGGGAGTTACTCGCTGTGGTCATCCTAACCTCCAACTTGCTTTTGCAGCCGTGGTGTTTATACGGCAGTAACTTGGGACAGGATGAGATGAGGAGGTTTGGCTGACATGATTTTAACAGCTAAGAGTTAAATTTAAAAAAAGCAGAACCGAGGATATAATCCCTGCATTACTGCCTGAGCCACACGGGTACAGGGTAAATAACATCAAGGTTTGGTGCAGATAGATTGGGTTTCAGTTTGTCGGACCAGTATGGGGGTGGGAGGCAGCTGTTGTGGTGGGATGGGCTTCATTTGAAGCACAAAGGGACCTGTGATCTGGTGAACTGAATAACTAGGACTGTGGAGAGAGAGCTTTGAATGAAATAGAGTGGGAGTGAGAGAGAAAGAATACTTGGCTTTACAAAGTGAAAGAATATAGCAGCATCACAGGCCAGTTATTTTGATAATGATCCTAGGGTGGGACAGGAAGGGGACAGAGTGTACAATCAAAACATAATGCAGGAAATGGGTTCAAAGAGGGAGTAGACAGTAAAAGAGCAAACTTGATGGATTTTTAACTTCAATGTATGCAGTGTGGAGTATAAAACAACTGAAGCAATGGCACAGAAAGAAGTCAATGGTATAATCTTACAGCTTGACAGAGACATGGCCACAGAGAGGCCAAAGCTGGGAACTAAATATTCAGGGGTATGTCACTTTGAAAAAGGACAGACAGGCAGGCAGGAGGGAAAGGTTGGTGGGGTGGCTTTGTTAGTCCAGGATGGAATAAGTACAATAAGAAAACATGATCTTGGATCAGAAGGTGTAGAATCCAAATAGGTAGAGGTAAGAAATACAGGGAAGATGACACTGGTGGAACTAGTCTGTAGGCCCACATCACATCGGCCCACCCCCACCCAACAGTAGCTGTTGTGTAGAACAGAGAATAAATCAGGACATCATCAAGATGTAAAAATGGCAGTACATGAGTTACATGGATTGGGATCGTCAGAATGGAAAAGGAAGAATTCAAAGTATATTCGGGACAGTTTCCTAGAACACGGTGGATCAGGCTATTTTGGATCTGGTGATATGTGATGAAGCAACTTCAATAAATAATCTCAGAATTAAAAGATCCCTAGGGAGAATGGTGACCATAACATGGTAGAGATCAACCTTCAGCTTGAGTTCAGTTTCCATCTCAATGGGCTGATTGGCCTGCATTTTCCTGCTGGCCCAGTTCACTGGTAACAGCCGTGGGATGTTGGTGCATTGAGTTCAGCAATGCCTGTGCTGGTCAATGTGGAGATGGCTACATTCTCCCTTGTTGGCGATAGTCATTGTCTGATGCCTGTGTAATCTGAAGGTTACTTACCAAAACTCTTGTCCCTAATCTGCATGTCGTCCAGGCCTTGCACTCTGTGCACAGTCTGGGAGGTCACAGACGGTGCTGAACGTTATGCAGTCAACAATGAATGTCTCTATTTCCGACGCTATGGTGGAAGGAAGGTCTCTGATTTAAGCTGCTGAAGATGGCTGAGGCTAGAACACTACCCTGAGAGTGTCTCCCTCCCTCCTTCTCCCTCCCTCCCTCCCTCTTTCTCGTTTGTTCCCTCCCTCCCTCCCTCTTTCTCGTTTGTTCCCTCCCTCCCTCCCTCCCTCTTTCTCGTTTGTTCCCTCCCTCCCTCCAACTCTGGTAGATGACCTTGTCCATATCTGAGCTGGGAGCATTGACAGGGTTAAATGGAATGAAGTGTTACCGCTGAGACTGATGGGCATGTTAGTAAGACTGGAATTGGAGCATAGTCTTTAAGGATCAAAGCCAAACCCTCTTGTATCCACGATGACAGCGGAAAACCCGAGCAGTGGGTTTGTCCATCCCTGGCTCAAAGATTAATTCCATAAGAATGGAATGTGCCTTGGCTGCCTGTTTGTGCTGATGTCTGCGATTGTGGGAAGAAGTAAAATGGGTAGATAGCCCAGGAGTCTCTTTAATTCACCTGAAAGCAACTGGGGTGGGGATACTGTCATTAACTTCTGTCAAACTGAGATCAAACAGACAGTTAAAACCACACTTAAAAAGCACTGCGTAACAGTGAGAAAAAAATAGGACTTAAATAGTCTCGGTTTCCATTAAATATGATTTCCCAGAAGCGGTGTTTGCGTGCTGTGACTAGACAGACGCTGCAAGATTCGTTTAATCAGAATGCACTGAAATTTGGGGAGAACCAGTGTATGATACCCCGTGAAATGGGTAAACGGGTGGGACCGGGCCGCCCCTGTCCCCTGTAACGCGGGTGGGACCGGGCCGCCCCTGTCCCCTGTAACGCCGCGGGTGGGACCGGGCCGCCCCTGTCCCCTGTAACGTGGGTTAAACCCTGTTAAATTTACTAATTGATCTCTTTGTTCCTATGTGTCTTGACCTAACCCCTGGCCTGACTGAATCCTGTTTCCTCTCTGTAGCTGGCTTACTGCATTGTACAATTCCTTGAAAAGGACACCACATTGACAGAGCCAGTAAGTGGATTTGCTTGTTCCGCTTTCTGCCTAGTGGGGCTACTCTGTAAAACCACAGTGTCAAACCTCACTACCCCTGGGTACATGATTCACTTCCTTTGCAGAGAGTTTTGCAGGTGCTATTTTTACCACACAGTGGTCAGATTTATTCACTTGCCAGTCACACTGTGCCTTAATGATCTGTGTGTGCATGGGGGTGGGGGAGTGGTGGGGAGGGGGAGGGGGTGGTGGTGGTGGTGGTGGTGGCGGCGGCTGGTGGGGAGAGGGGATTGGTGGGGGGGTGTCTGTCTGCTCCCTTACGGTTCCCAGCCCCTCATTCTCCCTTAGCAGAACAGGGTGGCGGTAACAATGAGAATGTTACTGGGAGCTGTTGCCTCACAGCACCAGGGACCCGGGTTCGATCCCACCCTTGGGCGACTGTCTGTGTGGAGTTTGCACATTCTCCGTGTGTCTGTGTGGGTTTCCTCCGGGTGCTCCGGTTTCCTTCCACAGTCTGAAGATGTGCAGGTTAGGGTAGATTGGCCGTGCTAAATTGTCCCATAGTGCCCAGGGATGTGCAGCTTAGGGTGGGTTAGCCTTGGGAAATGCAGCGTTACAGGGGAGGGGATTGGGCCCAGTGGGATGCTATTTGGAGGGTTGGTGTGGACTCAGTGGGCTAAATTGCCACACTGTAGGGGTTCTATGAGCTGGTCATCCAGAAAGACCAGCCTCTAGCGGGGGCACAGGTTCAAATCCCAACGCGACCAGTGCTGGAAGCTAAATTTGTTCCATTGAAAACCAGTGGTGGGTGGTTCTGAAAAACCTCATTGAGTTCACTCAAGGCATTTTCGGGAAGGAATTCTTCCCCAGCCCTTTACCTGGGTCTGGCCCACAAGTGACTCCAGACTCCACAGCCCCCACTACCCTCCCGGCCCCAGCCCGAGTGATGAGAATGACTGACTCTGGCGAGAGTGATACTAATGTCTTGTGAATGAATTTTTTTTTCCCCTCTCTTGGCAGGTTCTCCGGGGACTACTCAAATTCTGGCCCAAAACCTGCACCCAAAAAGAGGTAAAAATTAGGCGTGGGGGTTCGGGCGTGGGGGAGAGGCTGGGGACAACTGGCTGACCTCCTGTGGCATTGCTCGCAAGCCTTGGTGACGGTTACTGTGGTACAAGCCCCATTGGGTTCACAAATGGGTGGGAGGCGGGTAGTTGACCCACCCTTAGCTCGTCCGGGCCAACACGTGACTCCAGACTCCCCCACAGCGCTGACGGTGACTGCACACCGAAATGGCCCTCTTGCCACTCACGTGCCACAGCCCACTCAGCAACTGCAGCATTTCCCCCCACCCCACTGAATGGCACGGCTCATTTGGCCATCCTTCCTGGTCCAGCTCTTCTGGGGGCTTCCTTCCTCCCACATTCCCCCTCATTCCACAATGCTCCTCACTCTCACTGTTCTCCCCCTACCCCCACGATTCTTCTCTCTCCTCCCTTCCCGGCCCCGCCTGTGCCTGCTCCCTCCCTTTCTCCTTTTCTCACTGTGCCATGCTCTGTCTCTATCTGTATGTCTCTGTCTTCCCCCCAACCCCTGTCTCTGTCTCTGTCTCTGTCTCTGTCTCCCCCGCCCCATTGCTGTGTGTGTGAGTGCGTGCGCGCGCCTGTATCTCTCGCTTGCTCTGCCTGTCTCTATTTCTTTCTGCCTCTGTTATTCTCCACTCCCCATTTATCCTCTCACCTTAGTTTTCCATTTTCTTTTCTCCCTCCCTCTTCGAATCCCCCCATTTCTCCCGCCCACCATGCAACCCCCCATTTCTCCTAACCATATACCCCTCCCCGTTTCTCTGACCCCCCATATTCCCCCCTTGTATCCCCGCCGTTTCTCCCCACCCTCGCTCCCTCCCAATAGACCCCTTCCACCTCCCCCACCCAACTCCTTCCCCCTCTCCCCCTCGTGCATGTGCTCTCTGTCTCTGAATACTTCTCCCACTCTCCATTTCTCTGGCATTATCCCCCCTCCCAACCCTCTTCACCTGCCCCCAATTGTTGATCCCAGTTCAGGGAATTCAAGTCCTCAATGGAATGTCAGTGCTCCCAAGGATCGCAGGAAACACTTTGAAATCGGTGCCTTTAAAGTGCTCTTAGACCTTTAGCTGCAGGCAACCATTCATGGTCTCGTGATTAATTCATGGCACTTGGTTCAGTTCATTCTAACCTGTTGTGAATTGACACTTTAATCCTCAGTATTGCACGGGAGGCCAGAATCCTGGTATACACTCCCCAGGTCAGCACTGAGGGGGTGCTGTAGTTGATAAAGCTGCTTTCTCACACTGTTAATGATGGGGTGTTGCGTTGCATGTTTCCTGTCAGGGCAGCTGAGGGGATTGTGAAGCTGCCATCCTGAACACAGCCGCTACCTGTTCCATCCTCAGGAGTGAGCTGAAGGCAGGGTGTAGGTTCGGTTATCTGAGCCTGCTCTGGGACAGTGTTCTCAGGGAGCCCAGTGCCCTCGGGCGCGGCATCTTCTGTCGTTGTTGTGCACCAAGCTCTGACTCACACTTGCCTCCTCCCAGTGTGAGCCTTAATCCCTGCTGCCAATCTCTCTAATGCCCTAATGACTCCAGGCTTTGGTTTAATGATGGCAGGGTGGATTAGGGCAGCTATTAGCCTGCCACTCCTTCCACAGGCAGTAATCCTCGCTCGGCACTGATTTAACAGCACACCATTGTACGGACACTGCACCCTGTCCTCCAGCTCTCTGCTGTTCAAATCCACTCCCCATCCCCCAACCCCCACCCCTGATGGTCTGCGCTGTGTGCTGATGTTTTTACCTTCTACGGGTGGGTAGAAGTGTAGAAAGCAGGAGTAGGCTATTTGGCCCTTCGCATCTGCCCCACCATTCAGTTCAATCATGACTGATCCTCAAAACCTGTTCACCCCTTTGATCCTTTTCGCCCTAGGGACTGTCTCTAATGGACAACGTTAGTGGGACGTTGCTCAGGGCACTTTTGCAATACTGCGTTCAGTTCTGGTCTCTCTGCTACAGGAAAGGTGTTGTGAAATGAAAGGGTTCAGAAAAGATTTAAGAAGATGTTGCCAGGGTTTGAGCTACAGGGAGAGGCTGAACAGACTGGGGCTATTTTCCCCGGAGCATCAGAGGCTGAGGGGTGATTTTATAGAGGTTTATAAAATCATGAGGAACATGGATAGAGTGAATAGCCAAGGTCTTTTCCCCCAGGGTAGGGGAGTCCAAAACTAGAGGGGCATAGTTTAAGGTGAGAGGGGAAAGATTTAAAGGGGACCTGAGGGGCAACTTTTTCACACAGAGGGTGGTGCGTGTATGGAACGAGCTGCCAGAGGAAGTGGTGGAGGCTGGTACAATTACAACATTTAGAAGGCATCTGGATGGGGACATGGATAGGAAGGGTCGAGAGGGATATGGGCCTAATGCTGACAAATGGGACTGGATTAATTTAGGATATCTGATTGGCGTGGATGAGTTGGACCAAAGTGTCTGACACCCATTTCCCTATCCCTACCTCTGGGACCTCAGCGTTGCACCATGTTTATCAGCGCGGTGGATGGCAGAACAGAGAGATAAATGTGCACAATTGCAGTGTGGAATTTAGTGTTGCCCAGACTGTAGAAAGCACAGAGCCTCACCTGGAATACCGCGTCTAGTGCTGCGTCACTCCCCACCCCTCAGGAAGGGATATGCAGGTTTTACAGAGGGGGAGAGTGGATTCATCCCAGTGACGTGGATAGTCTGGAGAAGCCGGGACTGTTCTTCCCTGGGAGTAGGTTCGAGAGAGAGGTGATTGGAAAAGGTGTTCCAGGACGACGAGAGGCCTGGAGCAGGAGAAACCATTCCCGTTGTCGGAAGGATCAAGGAGGAAAGAACTGCGGATTGGCAGAAGAAGCGTTGGGGCTGAAAATGTCCTCACGCAGTGAGCGAGGTGTTTGGGTAATCTGGAATGAGCTGCCTCAGTGTGCAGGTTGGTGGCGAGGGGAAGGACGGTTCAGTCAAGGCTATCTGGAGGAGATCAGGTTATTATCTGAGCTGGAAGAGCGGGTAGGGGGTCAGATGGTCACCTCCTGTGCTGTACCCATCGTTTGGGACAGCAGCAGGGAGCTTCAGTGGGAGTTGGGTGGTATCTGAGTGGGTAAGGTCAGGGGTGGGGAGGGTTGTTCCCTGTGACTGGCTCCACTTTGAACCAGAGGAGAGACTTTTGCTAAGCCTGGTGCTCAGGAACAGTCAAAAGGCATTTGGATGTTTGAATACCCACAGCTTAGAGGCAGCGCCAGGCCCTGGGACTGAAAGGGTTAAATGATGGCGAGGGGTCTTAGAGTGAGCTTGAGTTCCCTCGAGTGGAGGAGGTTCGAGCGGTGATGTAATTGAGGGGTTTAAAACAGTAGGGCCAGTGGAGAGGGCTGGCGAGTGACATTTGTGCCACACAAATGCCAGGTCATGACCATCAATGTAAACACCCACCCAAACCCTTTGACATTCAATGGTCACTGAATCCCCCCACTATCAACATCCTGGGGGTTACCACTCACCAGAAACGCAACTGGACTCACCGCATAAACACAGTGGCTACAAGATCAGGCCAGAGGCAAGGAATACTGCAGCGAGTAACTCCCCAAAACCCGTCCCACCATCTCCAAGGCACAATCCAGGAGTGTGAGGGAATACTCCCCACTTGCCCCTGGATGGGGGCAGCTCCAACAACACTCGGGAAGGGTAAAATGTTATGACATTTATGTTATGACCATCAGCACCATCCAGAACAAAGCAGCCCCCACATTGATTAGCACCACATCCACCATCGACGCTCAGTTGCAGCAGTGTGTACAAGATGCACTGCAGCAACTCACCAAAGATCCTCAGACCGCGTCTTCCAAACCCACAACACTTCCATGTAGAAGGTCAAGGGGCAGCAGATACATGGGAACACCACCCCTTGCAAATTCCCCTCCGAGCCACTCCCCATCCCGACTTGGAAATATATTGGCCGTTCCTTCAGTGTTGCTGGGCCACGATCCCAAAGGGCACACAGACCGCAGTGGTTCAAGAAGGCAACTCCCCATCACCTTCTCAAGGGGGCAACTAGAAATGGGCAATAAATGCTGGGCCCAGCCAGTGAATAAGTAGGAATGATGAGCTCATGGTGGAGGAGGAGGGGGAAGTCAAGGGGGAGGCTGCAGATCCTTCTAATGAGAGGCAGACCACAAGGGGGAACAACGTTCACCTTATCAATCCCCTTTAACGTTTTATATACCTCAGTCAGACTCCACCCCCCCCCACCCTGAGCTTGAACATTTTTAGACACCATCCGCAGGGGAAACGTTAAATGTCCAACTGTCAATCGCTCTCCGATAACCCATTTCTAGCCCCCAACCAGTGTACAGCTTGGTGGTTAGTCCTGTTGTCGATGGTCTATGTTGGTGGTGATGGTTTTCCTCTCCCTGCTCCAGGTGATGTTTCTGGGGGAGCTGGAGGAAATATTGGATGTAATCGAGCCCTCACAGTTTGTAAAAGTCCAGGAAGCTCTGTTCAAGCAGATAGCAAAATGTATCTCCAGCCCTCACTTCCAGGTCAGTCTTCCTCGCAGCGCGCGCTCTCTCTCGTCCCCTCGTGCGTGCGCGCTCTCTCTCTCTCACTTTTTCTTTGTCTCTCCTGCTCTGTCTCACGTGTGTGTGCTCGCTCTGTCTCTCTCTCTCTCTGTCTGTCTCCCGCTCTGTCTCGCACGTGCGCGCACACTCTGTGTCTCTCCCGCTCTGTCTCGCACGT